AGAGTGTCTGATGAGCTTAAGTCAGAGAATGCAGGAAGAGGAGTCCGTTTTAGAGTGGAGATAATGAGTTGACTTGGGGCCATGTTGTGTTAGTAGTAATAACGAGATATGTATTAGTTTCCTGAGATATGTATTAGTTTCCCGGGGTGGCCGTGACACAGTGCTACAAATTGGGGGCTAAAAAGCAGTAATTTATTGTCTCACAGCTGTAGAAGTCTGAGTAGGGCAGCAGAGTTGGTTCCTTCTGAGTGTTGAGGGAGAATTGGTTCCGGGCCTCTCTTCTGGGAGCCTCAGGAATTCCTTAGCTTGTAGATGTCTTTCCCCCTGTGTCTTCATATCATCTTCCCTCTGCACATGTCTCTTTGTCAAAATTTCCCCTTCTTATAAGGATGTCCCATGTTAATGACAGGTTTTTTTTTTTTTTAGAGAGAGAGCATGCATGTGCATGTGAGCAGAGGGCGGGGCAGAGGGAGAGAGAGAGAGAGAATCTTAAGCAAGCTCCACACTCAGTGCAGTCTGACCCGGGGCTCCATCTCATGACCCTGAGATCATGACCTGAAATCAAGAGTCAGATGCTCAACCCACTGAGCCACCCAGACATCCCACTAATGACAGGTTCTTAATGTTGCTGATAGTACTAAATGGATATGACCAACGTGCTGAGGCCCCTGAGGGTCCGAGGCTGTGCCATGCGTTTCTGAGTCTTCAGTGTAGACACTCAATAAATATTTGGTGAACCTTAATATCATAAAGCAAAAAAGTAATTCTGTGTATCAGTAATCAAGTAATTTAATGTATGAGAAAAATTCAGGATTCAGGAGCGTAAAGTCAAAGAAGTTTTAAAAATCACTCTAACATTCAATTTGAATTGGAAATACCAGACAGAATTTGTAGCTTTTTCTTAAAAAAAAATACTTCTTTTACATTCTTCCACTGAAAGGGCCTAGAAGCAATGAGACCTAGGAGCAAGGAGTACCTCAGTATTTGGAGTGTGGTCTCTGGATGTTACTTGCTACTGAAAGGAACCAGCACTCCATAAGAAAGCCCAGGTTCGAGAACAGGAAATACACCAGAGGAGCCTGGAATGTGTGTGTGTGTGTGTGTGTGTGTGTGTGTGTGTGTGTGTGTGTTTTAGAAAACATGGAAGCTATCCCAGACAACTAGGGTCAGGTCTCAATAGATAGAAACCGGCTTGAATAGCCTCCTACTGGCCAAAGAAGGGACAATTTAAGCATCAAAAAATAGGTACTCAATAGATTGAATCACATAAAGTAAAACCCATGAAGTCATAATTTTCCTTGGTCAACTTTGCTAAGGCACTAAATTATTATTCTACAACTTCATAAAGTATCCAGGCTTTCTTATTTTTTTAAGATTGTATTTATTTATTATTTATCTGAGAGAGAGAGAGCACACACAAGCGGTGGGGAGGGACAGAGGGAGAAGCAGACTCCCTGCTGAGCAGGGATTTCCCCATGCAGGGCTTGATCCCAGGACTCTGGGATCCTGACCAGAGCTGAAGGCAGACCCTTAACCGGCTGAGCCACCCAGGGGCCCCTGGCTTTCCTATTAAATCTGTGTTTCAGGGTAACCAAATATTCAATTAGGCAAATTTCCTATTTTGTAGAAGACTCCAGTTCCTACATGAAGAAGGCAGGATAGAATTAGAAAATCACCATTCGCAACTTCTAATAAAATAATGGATCTAGGCAGCATTTACTAACAGCCATCAAAGTGCACAGGTGAAGATTGATGAGAACTTCATTAGTGGATAAATCAAGCTGAGAATATCTGAACCCACGGAGCAATCTTATCTCACTAGAAATGAGCCAAGTTGACACCGGGGGCATTATCCAGCACCCCATGAAGTATTCTTGTCCCTGATCTAAGCAAGCCTCTCCACATACCAGCAGGTTCCAGGACATAAGGGGTAAAGAATTTATCAAATGACACTGAAAGGAAGCAATTAGCCAAATTAGTCGTGAGAGTCACTCTGCAAATGACCCTGTTTTGTTACTATTGTTGTTTTTAGGTAACAGCAAATATAAAATGAAGGAAGGAATGGTTACAAAGTTAAAGAGAGGTGAGAGCCATAACAGTTATGGGTCACATGTGGATCTTGTTTGGGTCCTCATTTAAATAAATCAAATATGGAAGGAAAGAAGGAAGGAAGGAAGGAAGGGAGAGAAAAGGATAACTCTGAAGAAATTGGAAACATCTTCCTAATGACTAGCTATTAGATTATATTAAGAGATGATTGCTTATTAGATACACCGATGGCATGCTAGGTATGTTTTTTAAAGCACTAATGAGTCATATACCCATGCTGTACTTTTTATGGGAGAAATTACATAATATCTGAGATTTACTTTAAAATACTACAGAAAACAACCATTGGAGAATTTTTTATATGTAATGTATATAATTTATATATAGTTATATAACTCGATTGGCCAAATATTGATAATTGTTGAAGCTGGCTAATGGGCATAGGTTATATTAAACTCTTCTACATTTCTTATATATTTGGAAATTTCTATACAATGTTAAATTTAAAAACTTAATAAGAAACACAGAATCCAGAGGTAGAATCCAGGAGTGATTTCAAAAACATATCCCAGAACAACATAAAGCTTTGGGGTCAGCGCACAGGAAGATCGTTCCCTCTGGGTAATCAGTAATGAGAACCTGAGACATTGACACCAGATGGGAATGCTGTTTATTTAAAATATGGACATTGAGCAACTGCTGATCTGGGGCTCTCCATCACTAAAAGGCCAGAGAACGCCAGAAACTGCCAACCTTGTCTTCAAACTGTACAAAAATACAAGAATAGCCAGGACCTGGATTTCCAATGAAGAAAAAATCCAACTGATTATGTAAGACATCAGAGTCTTTTGGGCAAATAGGTTAAAGGTTTTCAACATTTCTTTAGAGAGGAAATGACTGGGTCAATTAATAGAGCATCTGCTATGAGCCAAACTTTTATTAGACCCTTATAAGTATAATAACACATCTTTAAAAAAATGCTGAAGTATGTAAGAAACTATATATCATGCAAAATCCCTGATTTAAGGGCATAGATGTTCCTCTCCGATCAGTAGGGTGCCTTCAAAGAATTCCAAAGTAAAAGTGCTCCCGGGTATCGCTATGGATAGGTGGCGGAACCAGGAGAACTTAGTCATTGCAGAAGTTATGGGGGAAGTCACTTTCTTTGGAGGACATACCTTAATAAAATGTACCTCTCTCCGAGGAGCTTGAATGTTGGGCAGATGTGTTCTTTGCAAAAGAGAGGGGGGGAGGGAAGGAGAGGGGAGGGGAGAAGAAAGGCAGGGCAAAGGAGGGAAAAAGGAAGGCAGGAAGACAAAAAGCTAATAGGGTGTTTATGGGCATTTAACAAGCCATAGCCTTTCCATCAGAAGGGTCCTGCATACCCAGAGCCACGCTCAAGCAAAAACATCTACCCTGGGAGCACTTAGGCAACAGTGTGGTTCTCCCTCCTGGCAGGAGGAGACCAGCCATGTCTGGCTATACAGTCATGAACTTGATGGCAGATTTCCAGGCGGTTTCTAGTCCACTGGAAGATCGTAAGACTCATACTCCTCATCGGAAGATTCAAGGAAAGGTAAAAGTGAAGTTAAAAATTAAACCCTTTAACTTTGACGTAATGAAGTCAAAGGATTGGGTGAAGGATTAATGGGGCTAAAATTGGGAAATCCAGAAATTCAGTACTTTTTCAAGTTCAAAGGCTTCACAGGGGAAGAAGGAATCGCTTGTCTGTCCCGAATCAGGTCAGTCTTATTCTTACATTGCTACTAAATGAAATTAACAATTCCCCAGAGTGATGAGCGGGACTTCTCTGTTAAAGATCTTATCAAGGGCGTTTAGCAAGCTCGGGAAATTTGGGGGGAAAGTGCATTGCCACAGATTCTTCCTGAGGAAAAGTAAAAAGAACATATTTCTAGGGATTAGTGTGAGGGGGACAGTTGTGTGGACAGTCAAGGAAAGAGAAGCACGTGGTGTGTGTTGTATGGTGCTTGCGGATCTGTGAGTGGTGTGGGGTGTCTGTGGTGTGCATAGTGGAAGGTATGCATAAGTATGTTTGTGATGTGTGTGGTGTGGTGTATGTAGTTTATATATATATGTGTTGTGCTGAGATGTGTTTTTGTGTGTAGTTGTACATGCGTGCAGAGCACGTGTGTGTCTGTGTAGTATGTGTGTGGTGTGTGGGTATGTGTGCTTGCACTTGTGAGTATTTTGAGATAAACAGCAGTCCCAGAAGATGTTTCAGCATGGGATAATGGTGGTTGACCAGCTGCTCATTCAAAATATTTTGCAAATCCAGCCTTAGGAATTTATCCTTTGATCATCTGGTCAAACTGATGTGGCTGAAGCTCAAGGTGTAGACAAGGGCATGACTAGTGCCTGTAAGCGCAGTGGCTGGTCTGTGCAGGAAGGGGGGTGACCTGGCTCTCCTCAAGAAGGCAAAATTAATAAGCAGATAGTTATTCTTCAGCCCTATTAAGATATAAGAAAAATAATTTATTTAACTTTACTTATTCCTTTTCCAAAGTTCTTTTTTACATTCAAGTTTCTGACCTTGAGCAATCTCTTCCTGCCTGAAAACATGTTTTAACATTCCTTGCAGGGCATGTCTACCGTCAGTGAATTCCCTCAGCTTTTGTTTGTTTGTTTCACTTTTGAGAGATATTTTCACTGGACATAGAATTATGGGTTAGCAGGGTTTCTGTTCTTTTTAAATAGTTTTCAGGGGGGCGTGTATATTTTTCGTCAACTAAAAAAGCATAAAAGCTCAATGTCAAAGGAAGCACATGGTTGAGTTAAATGGGAACTGATGGACGGAGCAAGCTTCCCTTTGATGCATGTTTTAAATCAGAAAGGAGTACTGGGTGGTTTTTGGTCAGTTCTTCCCTGCGTTATGCTGATACCAACATGTTTCACACTTGCAGCGAAGACCACACCCCTCAGCAAGAAGAAAAGAAACCGGAACCCCTTATGCAAATGGATAACCAGTTCCCTCCCAGGAAAGGTAGAAATTATTCTCTATCCCACTGCACAGGCTTTTTTCTTCTTATATATGACATCCTAGGGGTGCCTGGGTGGTCAGTCGGTTAAGCCTCCGACTCTTGATTTCAGCTCAGGACATGATCTCAGGGTCGTGAGGTCAAGCCCCACATCCAGCTCCATGCTGTTTGTCTCTCTCTCTCTATTCCTTTCCCCACTCTCTCAAATAAATAAATAAATAAATAGACAAACTGTTTACTTTGAGCAGGGCAGGGGAAGGACAATAAGAATTTACCACCATTGTCTTAGAGTTATGTGCGTGTCATGGGGAATACAATCCCAGGAGAGGGATCAGGCAATGAATTCCATTCTTTTTCAATTTATGTAAAGATGAGTGGTCTATTAACTTCTAAATTTCTTCTTGTGTTATTTTTTATATTTAGTGATTTTGAGTTTTCTATTGTTCATTTAATCTATATTCAAATTTATATACAGATATACAAAACATAGAAACATAGAAACCATATAAACTGATATATATATTATATATATATAAAGCATATAAACCTATATATATATATATAACTTATTGATTTCTGCCCTTTTTCTTAACATTTCCTTCCTTTTCAGTTCTTTGGGTTTGTTCCTTTGTTACTTTTCTGTCTTCGAATTCTTTCTTCTTTTTTGATAAATATCCTCAGGGGTGTACTTTGGCTCTAACTGTCCATGAGTTGAACACACAGTATCTTAGTGTTGCTCATCCCAAGCACTTTGGAATTTCTCTTGGTTTACTTTTTAACTCAAGGCTTATTTAGAATTAGTTCATGTTCTTCCTGGAGCAATGTGGAGGAGACGAGTTCACAAACTCAAAAGGCATCCCTAACTGACAATGACATCAAGTCCTTCTCTCCATACGGTGAGGACTGCCTCCCCTTTGCTCTCTGGAAGGACTTTTTTTCTTTCTCTCCTCCAGAGACCTTTCCCCCAGCATTTCTGTTAGTTTTCCAGGTCCATTCACTTTCCTTTTGATTTTAAAGAGTGGGTTTAGAAAGCTTTGGAGCAAGCCACCCTCAGTGTGTGCATGTACGTGTGTGGTTGGAAACGTTTTTTCTGATGGCCCAAGGACAGTGAGTTTTAGGCTGCAAGCCAAAGGAAGGACTGGCTGATGACTGAGTTGTTTTCTTCCTCTGCTGAACTCCAGGGCTCGTTCACCCCGGGCCAGTTTCCACAGTCCCCCTGGCAAGGTGGGGGGGGGGCGGTCAGTGTGTTCAGCCCTCACTGAGTCAGTAGGTCTTTGGCATCTAAGTGTCTGAGAACAGGGTCTCTTACTAGACCCTCCCATTGCCATGGCCTTGGCACTTGACTCCTGTTGTCTCTGTGCCCGGGGAGGCAAAAAACAAACAAAAAAGCTGGTATCAAATGTCTTCAGGGAAAAATCTGCCTTCAATGATCAGTCTATGCCTTGTGGAGCCTGTCTCCACTGAACCCTTGGCCTGAATATTTCATTTTTCCTGGCAGATAATCCATACTTCTAATGAAATATTTAATTTGATTGATTGATTGATTGATTGATTGATTGATTTGGGGGGGCAGAGGGAAAGGGAGAGAGAGAATCTCAAGCAGGCTCCATGCCCAGTATGGAGCCAATGCAGGGCTCCATCTTACGACCCTGAGATCATGACCTCAGCTGAAATCAAGAGTCAGATGCTTAACCAAATGAGCCATCCAGATGCCCTGAAATATTTTATTTTAAAAATATTTCATTTAATATTTGTATCTGTTTACAAAGGGAGATCAGTCCAGAAAATGAATTTTCCAGGCATGAGTGTAATTCCACTTGGCAGGGTATCCAACATTTATCTAGCTGAACTTCAAAACCCTTATGAGTCAGCAACACCATTTACCCTCCCTCTCCCCCTTCCGGAACTGGAATTTCTGCAGCAATGACCCAATGCCTGCCCCACCCCTGTATGGCAGGAGTACTGGGGGCATAGAGCTTGCCTCTCCTTTCACAAGTCCACAGGTACAGAAATAGTATGCTCCAGCGTGAACCTCCTTCACTTCTGTTTTAGATCATTTAGATGATAAGATTTGTGACTTTGAGCTAATGAGATTTTGAGGAGGAGACAGAGTTGAGCTGATACTGTTATTATAAGATGAGACGTTTAAGGACCAGAGGGGGGGCTGTGGTAGCCAGAATCCTAAGATTACCCCCAAGACTCTGACCCCTGGTGTACACGCACTTTCCACTAGTTATTTAAGCAAACACTAAGCTAGGTGCTGCCTGAAGGGATTTAGCAGATTTAAATAGGGTCGCAAATCAGCTGGTCTTAAAATAGGGAAATTATCCAGGAAATTACCCAGACCTTAAATCTGGGTCTAGAGTCAGAGACCAAGCAGTTAGAGAGATTCAAAGCGTAAGAGAGTTCAACGTAAGAGAGATTCTCCTGGCTGGTTTTGGACCTGGAGGAGGCCATGTGACAAGTCACACCAACTGTAAGCAGTTGATAGCTGGCAGGCAGACAGCAACCTCAGTTCTGCCTCCATAGAAAACAATTCTTCCAATCACCTGAATGAGAATGGAAATGGACCCTTGCTCAGAACCTTCAGCTGAGAACTCATTCGGGCCAAACCCTTGATTGTTTAGCCTTTGAGACCATGAGCAGAAAACCCAACCATATCATGCTAAACTTCGGACCTACAAAACTGTGAGTTAATAAATGGGTGTTGTTTTAAGCCATTATGTTTGCAGAAATTTTCTTTTTACACAACGATAGAAAATGAACACACACTTTGTAAAGCCTATCTACAACAGAACCTTCAACAAAGCATTATCTGAAATGTAGAAACATAAAAACCACTCCGTGTAAATCAGGAACAATGGTATAAAACCCAGGGATGCCTGGTGCAATCAACAACACACTGGTGGTTCTGATCCAAGGAGAACATGAAATTAAAGATCTGAGGATAACAAAAGAAGAAATAAAATCATCATTATTTGCATATTCCCAACATAGAACATCCCCCCCCCCCACAAATTAGCAGATGTATTTTTAGAAACAATAGCAACTTTTGGCTAACTGATTGGATATAGTATCTTTAAAAGTCTAATTCATTTCTTTTTTTTAAATCTATTTCCTTTTTTTTAAGATTTTTATTTATTTTTTGAGAGAGAGAGAGAATGGTAGAGAGAGAGCATGAGAAGGAGGAAGGTCAGAGGGAGAAGCAGACTCCCTGCCGAGCAGGGAGCCTGATGCGGGACTCGATCCCGGGACTCCAGGATCATGACCTGAGCCGAAGGCAGTCGCTTAACCAACTGAGCCACCCAGGCACCCTCTAACTCATTTCTTTACACCAACCCCAGGCAAATAAAAAATGTAACTAAAGAGACACCAAATTACCCTCCACTGGGCTGTAACAATGTAGGTTCTCTCTTCTCTTCTTTGGGGCTGGCCAACAAATGTGCTTTTGGATCTATGCCAATCTGATCCATGATCATAGTTTCTCAATGTTTTTCGGATTTATTGAAGTATTAATTATATACAATAAAGTCACAAGGTGTACCTGTAGGTGAGTTCTGACAAATGCATAGAGTTGTGAGCAAGAATCTTAGAACATTACATTAAATTCCCATTAGGTTCTTTCTGGTTCTCTTGCCTTGAGGAAATTGCTGTTATAATATCTACCACACAAATTAATTTTGCCTATTTTTAAATTCATAAAATTAGATCTCTCTAGTATTCACTTTTTTGGTGTCTAGCTTCTTAAGCTGAGCATATTTTTGTTGACATTCATCTAGATTGCTGAGTGTGTACTTCCTTCCTTTTTATTTTTGAGTAATGTCCATTGTATTAATATAACATGGTATGTTCATCCATTCCAAACACTCAGCTATTTTGAATAGAGCTGCTATAAACATTTTGGTACAAGTCTTTTTGTAGACCTATGTTGCTATTTCTCTTGGGAAAATGCCATTTGTTGAAAAAGACTTTATTTTCCTCTGTTATATTGCATCTAGTGCATTTATTCAAAAGCATTTGACCATGTCTATGCATCTGTTTCTGGACCCCCTACTCTCTTCCATTGATGAATTTGTTTGGCCTTATACCAACACTACACTGATTATTCTAGTTTGAAACTACTTCAATAAGTACATTACATTTTTTTAAATGCAATTTTTCTCTGCAATGTGTTTATATGACTATTCATAGACTATTGATACAAATTTAGAGAATTAAACAGTTTCCTTCAGAGAAAGTCTTTGCTGTTATTAAGGGGACTTACTTCCAAGACTAACCCAGAGTATTTGTAAGTCCTCCCATTAAAACAGGCATGAGACAAAGTATCTGGAGGACTGGTTTAATTTTCTGAGATATTCTTGTTGGGATTATATTATAGGGAGGTATGGGACTATTATATCAATCACATAGCTTCTTATTGTATCATAATTTCTTAAAGGCCATTAAGTACAATAAAATTTTTAAATTTAATTTAATAATAAAAAATTTAAATTAATATCTAGGATTCCATAACATAATACTATATGTCAGGTATATATATATATATATGTATGTATATATATATGATATAATTGATTCAATATATATATGGTTGTATATATATATAACTGTAGGTCAGGTATATATATATGGTTCCAAATTTCTGAGTTCCCTTCCTAAAGTTGCTGTATGGTTTTATCTCAGCTGTGTTAATAATGGACACTTTCTGTTTTACTTCTTAGTTCCAAGTTTTTGTTCCTTCCGCTATGGATTATCTCTCCTCTTGCATTTCTGTAACGTTGTAATAATGGCACAGCGCATGTGTCTGAGCCTCACAATGGTAGCCATGGTGAACAGCACAGATGCTCTTGGTTCACCCAACACCTCCACAGAGGAGCACCTGGATCACATAAAGGTATATGAAAAATATTATCCATAGTCACATGTTTAAAATCCTATCTTGCTCATTGATTTGTGTAGAGATTGAATGTTATCATAATTGATGTGACAGTAATCATTAGAAAAAGAAGTTCAAGTCTTCATCTATCTTGCTAGTAGTAACCTAACTAAACATGTCCCATGATTACAGCACACCTTAATATTTGTGAAGGGCTTTGTTATATGAATCCTTCTATGTGAAGAAGAATAAAAACTGAGCATTAGGGTCTCTAGAATTGAGAAGTTTGGATAAGAGGAAAAAGAGAAAGCATTTCAAACCAGAGCAGAAGTAAAGACACATTGTTTCTTTAAAAGTTTTTGAATATGCAGTATATTTACATGCTTCACTAATTTCATTTCTGGAAGGTAGTGAGTTTTGCTACCTGTCAGAAGATGTAGAACAGGGAAAAAATGGAAATGAATGGGAAGAATATTTTTTTCACTCTACTCTTCCTATGTTCTGTTATGAATGCACAGGTAAACATGAACATACTTTCTTATTTTCACCTTTTTTACATTAAAAATAACACTTTATATGCAATGTACTGCATCTTAATTTTTTTTAACATAATCATCAGAACCAGGCTTAGATATGACACATATGTAGGAATTCCCATACAGGGAATTTAAAATAGCTATAATTAATTTGTTAAGTCTCTAATGGAAAAAGTTGGCAACACATAACACCAGATGGGTAATGTCAGTAGAGATGGAAATTATGAGAATGAATAAAAAAGAAACAGAAATCCAGGTAACTGTAACATAAATAAAGAGTGCTTGACAAGCTCATAAGTAGTCTCAACATAGCTGAGGGAAGAATCAATGAACTTCAGTATGGGTCAATAGAAACTTCTCAAGCGGAAATGAAAGAGAAAGGAGGGGTTGGGAGGGAAGCTTAACAGAATATCCCGGAATTGTGGATAATATCAAAGGTATCGGGGTGCCCGGGTGGCTCAGTTTGTTGTGTCAGACTCTTGCTTTCGGCTCAGGTCATGATCTCCTGATTGTGAGATTTGGCCCGACGCCAGGCTCCACACTCAGTGGGGAGTGTGCTCAAGATTCTCCCCCTCTCCCCTTCCCCTTCCCCTGCTCTCTCTCTCAAATAAACCTTAAAAAAAAAAAAACATAACATATAAATGGCTAGAATACTAGAAAGAAAAGAAAGAGAGAGTGGCAAGAAGTAATATCTGAAAAATTAATGGTTGAGAACTTTCCAAAATTACTGGTGGACACCAAACCACAAGTCCAAGAAGCTCAGAGAACACCACACAGGATACTAAAAAGATAAATAATTAACAACGAGAAAAACCAACTAGACATACATATTTAAATTGCAGAAAACCAAGACAATGAGAACATCCTGAATGAAGCCAGAGGGAAAAATATCTTACTTACAGAGGAACAAGGATAAAAATTACAAAAGACTTCTTATCAGAAACGATTCAATTAAGAAGAGAGGCAAAACAATCTTTCAAGTGTTGAAGGCAAAAGAATCTGCCAAGTTAGAATTCTATATCCAATGAAATTACCTTAAAAGTGAAAGAGGTTAAAGACTATTTCAGGCAAATAAAAACTGAGGTAATATATTGCTACAGTAGGCCTGCCATAAAAGAAATGTTAAAAGATGGCAGATTTTAATCCAATATATCTATAATCACTGTATTTATTATTTATTTACTTATTTTAGAGTGAAAGCCTGTGAGCAGGTGGGGGGAGGGGCAAAGGGAGAGGAAGAGAGAGAATCTTAAGCAGGCTCCATACCCAGCATGGAACCCAACGCAAAGCTCAATCTCATGACCCTGAAATCATGACCCTAACATCATGACCTGAGCCTAAATCAAGAGCCGGACACTTAACCAAATGAGCCACCCAGGCACCCCTCAATAATCACTTTATTTTTATTCATTTATTTTTAAGATTCTTATTTGTTTCAGAGATAGAGCAGGGTGGGGAGGGGCAGAAGAAGAGGCGAGAGAGAAACTCAAGTAGACTGTGCTGAGTGCGGAGCCCCATGAGGGACTTGATCCCACAACCCTGAGATCAGACCTGAGCTGAAACCAATAAACATGTTCATCAGTAGATGGATGAATGCACCAACTATGGTACATCCATAAAACAGAGTACTACTTAGCACTAAAAAGAAATGAACTAGTGACACACAGAACAACATGGATGAAATTCAAAATAAGTATGCTGAGTAGAATAAACTATATATATAGTGTATGACTCCATTTATATAAAACTTCAGAAAGTGAAAACTATATCATAGTGACAGGCAGATCAGTGGTGGGAGAAAAGCAGGAGGGAGGAATTACAAAAGAAGTAAGGAAACTTCTGGAGGTGGAGAATGCATTCACTGCCTTGATTATGGTATACTTTCATGAGTATACACATAATTATATATGTATATATATATATATATATATATACATATACTTTCATGAGTATACACATAATTAAAAATTTATCAACTTGTACACTTTATACCAAAGATTAAATATGAAGTTTCCTGTGTCACTTGTACCTCAAAAATCTTTTAAACTCTTTTTATCCAAATTGTCTCTTGGATTATATTCTTTAAATATTTGTAGTATTTCATTGCTTTGGTTTCAATATTGAGAACTCCATGTTCTAGAGAAATGGCTACTCACAGGAGCCATATACTGAATCAGCAAAAAAGGAGGGAGCTCGAGCTGTGGAGGCCCTATAGAACCTCCCACTGTAATCCAGGGAAACTGATCTTCAAATGTGAGTCACAGAAAAGGGCTTCTCTTTGCTGACATACAAAGGTACTAGATGAAAAAAATGAGAGAATATAGCATGTAATTATTCCCAAATGTGAAGACTCACCAGAAAACTGTTTCCATAGAGCAGATCTAAATTGTAACCTGAAATTACAAAAGGAACCTAAAAGCTAGTTGAAGCAATTACAGTTAAGGAAGGAGCACCGCAGAGAAGAACATACAGAAGCTCAAAGCCAAGATGGCCAGGCAACACTATGCTCTGCCAGTAGACAAATGAAGACAAGTAAGTTGACAGAACGCAGGGAAGGATTATGGAAAAACAAGACATTTAGAACATTTTAGAAAAGAAGAGAAACCAAGCCAAAAAAAAAAAAAAAGAGAGAGAGAGAAATGGCCTTCTTCCTTCACTGTCTCATCCAATTATTTCCAGTTCAGCCTGAGACGTTCTCTTTGTGATTTGATCAATCACTATTTTTTTCTCTCTGGGAGTAGTCTGGATGTGGGGGAATGTTGTTTTGTGAATGAGGTTAACTTAATGGCGGAGTCAGAGGAAGAGAAAAGGCAAGAGGACATTCATGACTGTGGTGGGTGTAGTACTCTACGGAAGGGCTGACACGCAGTGTAGCAATGTTCAAGAAGCAAGTATTAAGTGCCCATGCTGTCCTGGGGCTACAGAGGGTGCCCTTGACTTGCAAGACCTTTACATTATAGTTGACGATACCATGGTTACATGTCAGTACACACAGGAAAAGACGTTCCAAAGGAACAGCAAGGATCCCATGATAGAGAATGAGGCAGAGGGGAGCTCCTTTACACTGAGTGGGTGGGCAGACCAGGTCTCCTGCATCCCTAAACATCACAGTAACTCACAGGATGCAGAGTGGCTCCATGTGTCTCCTTGTTTCTTTCAGAACCCCGTGTATAACTGGAGTCCTAAAATCCAGGGTATCATCTTCAGTTCCGTCTTCTATGGTGTACTTATCACCCAAATTCCTGTCGGATACTTGTCTGAAAAATACTCCATCAAGAAAATGATCGGCTCTGCATTATGCCTCAGCTCTCTACTTAGCCTGTTAATGCCAATGGCAGCTGAAGGTGGAGAAGCTTTCCTCCTGGCATGCCGAGTAGTCCAGGGAGCAGCCCAGGTATTAAGATAATGCAAAAACTGAACAGGGTTTAAATTCACAGAAAGTATCAGAGATCAGATGTCCCAATCCTTCTGATTTCAGGGATCGGTATTCATAGCTCAACACGTCATGTGGGCCAAGTGGGCTCCTCCCTTGGAACGAGGCCGACTCACCTCCCTGAGTCTATCAGGTAATGACGTAGGGCCTAGAATGTTTGAATCCCGCTATCATCTTATTCTAGCACGTTCTTCCTAGACCTGTAAAAGATGTGTGTTTTGAAGTGTCCAGGGCTTTGGAAACCATCTGCTCCAGCATCTTCGCTTTAAAGATGTGGAAACTGTCTAGAATGAAGAAAAGTCTCCTTTATCTCAAACAACAGGAAAAAAAGAGAAAAGCGAAGATTTTATTCTTTTCTTCTGCTCAGTGTTATCCTTACAAATGTATTTCACTGGAACTTGTTTATTGCTACCGTGAGGCTACATTATCTCTATTCTCAGATGCCTGTGCTCCTTAGGGGTTTCTTTGTGCCCCCTGATTAGGAATTCTGCTGGGATCCTTCATTGTTCTGCTTGTGACTGGATTCATCTGCCAATCCCTGGGCTGGCCCATGGCCTTCTACATTTTTGGTAAGTCTCTGTCTATAACATCCCAGTTGTTCTTCAGAATTGAAAAAAAATTAAAAATAAAAACTGACTATAAGGTAATAATTTATATAATGCTAATGATATTTAAAATCATGAATCTCATTGAAGGAAAGCGAGAAGTCAACATTCATTAATTTCACATTACAAGCAGAACTATACATGTGTTATTGTACATTACCTCTGCAATTCTATAATGCAGGTACTAGAGATCCACACCCCTTATATGAAACCCTTGGGGAAAGGGATGACCCACTATTGTTCATAAAAAGGAGCATACAGACTGAAGCAATGCTAGGAAGGAGATAGATAGGGGAAGACACCCCAATCCCACTCAACTCTCTCTTCTTTACCTTCTTCTTGGGCTGCTTGCCAAATCAATCTAGAAAGCAGTCTACCCAGGGGCCTGCTGATGTTCATTCAAGCCAGCCATCTGTGACCAATGCAGGACATCGAAGGGTGAAGAGTGGGTCTAGAGGGATGAGTGGAAGACATCCAATGCACACTGTGAGCAAATGGCAAAGCCATAATATGAACACATGCCTTCCGTCCTCCAAATGCCATTGCTCTTCATCAGTAAATTAGTCATCAGTAGTAAGCAATGATCAGTATAGTGACAGTACCCAAGCCCTGCACCAGGAAAGGGGCCAAAAAATACTGGGACTGCCTAGCCTGGGGAAAAGAAAACTTGAGAGAGCATGAATAAAAGAGAAATTCACACCTGCCCTGTATTACAAAATTAAAACTAATGAGCAGAAATTATAGAGAGGTGAGGTTTGCGCTCCATGAAAGACAAGCTCAATAATTAACGCTGCCCACCTGATCAAAGGTTGGATGACCTCCTACACTCATGGTGTATTCCTATTCCAATGTCATATACATGTGTATGGCAACATAGGTCATTTACAGTTCTCATGGGTGGCTCCATGAAGCTCAGAGAGAGGCACTATGCGTTGTCCTGCGTCAGCAGCTTTCCCACGAATTGCCTCATTTGGAGGCCCCCGGAATGGGGGGAAAGACTTAGAGGGTAGCAAGGTAGGGATTCAGGCATCTGCCTCCACAAGTCTTTACCATGAGGCATCGTGTCATGCCCACAGAGGCCAAATGGTCAGCTCCAGTTCGTGGCAGAGGCAAGACTAAAACCAAGAGGTTTTGTTCTATTTGAAGGTTCTTCTCAATGAAGTTAAATAAATCTAAATCCACACTGCTTTAAAGAACAAAATAACATCTGCCTTTGAGCTGCTTCTAATTGCTGGAGAAAAGCTCCCAAAAGAGCAAATCAGATCACAAACTCACATTTGTGCTTACAACGGCCGTCCAGCCTGCCGTTTCCCTCCACGAAGACTATTTTAAACTTCTCAAAACCTCTCTAGTCTCCTCAATTCTCTAAAATGGCTCCCTTTCCCCTGCCTTCTCTCTCACGTCACCTCCCTTTGAACAGTGGAAATTATTGCTCAACCTGTCTGTACCCACTGCCCCAACCTCTCAGACTTCTCCTCAACTCCTATCTGACTCGTGTCTGACCCATTCTGCCATCGAGACACCTCTTTTTTTTTTAAAGACTTTTATTTATTTACTTGTGTGTGTGAGAGAGAGCACAAGTCGGGGGAGGGGAGCGGCAAGCAGAGGGAGAAGCAGGCTCCCCACTGACCAAGGAGTCTGACGCGGGACTCGATCCCAGGACCCCGGGATCACGACCTGAGCCGAAGGCAGACGTTCAACCGACTGAGCCACCCAGGTGTCCTATCATTGAGACACCTCTTGACAAGATCATTTACAGCTTCCATCAGAGCTGCCCTGATTCCGCACTGAGCCCATTCTTGGCCCTCCTCCAACTAGGCCCTCTTCGTAGAGTCTGTGGGGTCAAGATTATATACTCTTCAGAGCCCACGGCCATCACTCCTAGTCATCACTCCCAGAATTGTTTGCTTAAAAACCACCAGGGCTTTTCAGACACGGAAGGACTCTTCTGCACATCCACTGAATTTAGACTTGGCCAACGAAGGGCAGGCAAAACTGCTTGCAGGAGATGTAAATGGAGTATGATGGGGAAGGCAAGAATTTCTACACATAACCAATTAAAACTTCTTTTAGCATGGAAACGGATCTGAGTAGGAACAGGAGGTCAAGCCTCGGACCACAGTGACCAGGGATTTGTGACCAATGGAATCAAAGAATTCTAAGTTTAAACCTCATTCTGCCTTGGGTTTCTTTAAAAAACTTTCTTTGTCTTAGATTTTCTCTAGTTTGAATATAATATGCCTCAGCATGTATTTTTTTGTATGTTCTCTTGAGCTTCCTGTCTCTGCGGTTTGGCGTCTATCATTAATTTTGGAAGACTAATTATTCCTTCAAATATTTCTCCTGTCCCATTCTCGTTCTTCTCCTTCTGATAGTGCCATATGTATATATTACACCTTTTGTAATTGTCCCACAATTCTTGGATACCTGTCATTTTTATTTTTTCTTTGCAATTCAGTTTTGGAAATTTCTACAGACATTTCTTCAAGCTCGATGATTCCTTCCTTGGCCACGCCTAGTCTATTGATGAGCCCATTAAAGGCATTCTTCATTTCTAGGTTAGTGTTTTTGATCTAGCATTTCCTGTTGATTTTCTTATTAGAGTTTCTGCCTACTTACATGAATCATATATTCTTGTATGTTGTCCATTTTTTCCATAAGAGCTCTTAGCAATATAATCACAGTTTTAAATTCTTGATTTGATAATTCCAACATCTCTGCCATTTCTGAATCGGTTCCAATGCTTGCTGTCTTCAAACTATATTTTTTGTCTTTTAGTATGCCGTGTGATTTTTTGTTGTTGTTGCAAGCTCAACAAGATGTACTAGATAAGAGGAATGGAAATAGTCTTTCAATGTGAGGTTTTATATTTATCTGGCTTGGCTAGGGGTTAGACATTGCTTACTGTTTGCTACAGCTCTAAGTTTCAGAGGCTACAATTTCCCCTGTTTTTGTGTTTTTATAGTCTTCTTAAATAAAGTTTGACACATGCAGTTTTTCCATTTGTACTCCCATTTATATACAGGGAAACTACTGATGCGGTGGTAAGGTGTGTGGGGGGGAGATAGTGTTCTATAGTCATATGATTAGTCTCAGCCTTTCAGTGAGCCTGTGCCTCTGGGCTTCACCTTCAGAAGTCCTTCCCAGTGTTCCCCCCATTAAGTAAGACAGGAAGGCCGTAGGGGGTTGCAGTTGGGTATTTCCTTTTACTTAAGCAGGTTAGACTCTGGTAGAAGTTTCCCTTGACAGCAGGCTTTGTTAAGAACAGGATGCTCTAGACATAATTCAAAACTGCTACTTTTCCTTTCCCCTGCTGAAAGGATGTAGGAATTTTTGTCTCATCTTCACTGTGAGAACCTGGTTAGGTCTCCTGAAGGTAAAACTCACAAAAGTATGAGGGTCCCTCCAGGATTACCCCAGATTTTTTTACCTCTCAAACTTGTCCACACGGCCTACTGCGATTAATCAATTGCCAGGTTTTCTTACCCTGGTACTGGTTCCCATGTAGTTTTCTGCTTCTGGGCTTCTGTTCCAGGAAGTTGCAATTCTCTGTATCCCTTATCTGTCTCTCCAATTTGGGGTACAGTAATTTGCCCTATGACCTCAATATTCTGATGGATCAAAGAAGAGTTGATTTTTATTTTGTGCAACATTTTTCTTGTAATGAGGATGGGAGGGATGACTACCAAGTTCCTTACATGCTGGATCAGAAACCAGAAGTCTCTCTCCAGATCATTTTGAAGTTACATTTTTGTCAACTTCGGATGAGAAGACATACCTTATTTGAGTTTCTTAATAAATCCAGAACTTAAACATTCATGTGAATTTCCATGTATAGTCTTGCCCCAGGCCTCACAGATGTTAGAGATGGCCAAACCTCCATGCCCAAAAATCAAGTGGAAGTTCTCCAGTCCACATTTGACCTGAGCTCTCAATCACATCCATCACCAATGGTGCCCCTGCCTAACTCTCTGCATTGGCCTTTGTTCTCCTGGCCACTCTGTCTCAGTCTTTTGCAGACTCATCCACTTCTCTTGCCATTAACTCTTGTCTCTTCAAAGCTCTGCCCCAGGCTGCTCCTTGAGGACTGTACTCCCGCCCTAAAAATATAATTCATGCTAAGTGTCAATTACCACTTACTAACTGTGTGTCCCTGGGCAAGGATGTGGACCTTTCTGAACATCAGTATTCTCATTTTGAAAAAGAGCTAATAGGCCCATATGAGTTTCTGAGTCGACTAAAATAATATATTGAAATGTACACATTGCACATGTATTTATTAGATATTTACTTCTGTCCACTTATGTTTCACCTTGGGATTGGGTTCTCAGGTCATAGAATGACATGGAAATAGTATACAGTTGAAATATCCTTTTAATGTTGCTTAAAGAATGTTGTACAAGCCTAAGATCTTCCAGTGGCTCCAGGTTTCCACATGGTCTGATCCCATCAGCTCTCGTCCTCAACCTTCCCCACCCTCCCCTTGCTTCCTCTCCAGTCACACTGGCCTCAGGACCTAGGCCTTCAGCACTCTCTGCTCCCTCTGCCTGGAGTGTCCTTGCCCCATATCCATGTCACAGCCTTCACTGAACATGATACTCCCCCCACCCCCGTAACTTCTATCCAGAGCTCTTGTCACGGATATTTAATACCCTTTACTTATTTACTTTTCATCCTCTTTTTCTCATCCACTAGAAAGTAAACTCTCTGAAGACAGAAATTTTTGTGTTTTATTCATTGCTGCATCCCCAGTACATAGAATAGTGAATGGTACATAATGTGCATTTAATCAATATCTGTCAAATGAATGAATGCCTTTCTGGAAGACTGACTGATGAGTACTACATACTCCCTGTCCTAACAGATGGTTCCTCACAGAGGACTTGTGTAATACCTCAGGCCTGGGCTGAATCTTGGGAGCATGGCCAAGACCTAGCTCTTAAAGCTAGGTGACAGTCAAGCCCTGTGAGGGTTCAGCTGTACCATATTCTCATGGTGGAACACGTTGGGAAACTGTAGAGATGAGGGCCTAAGAGCAGGGAGTCCCACTATGATGAGTGGAGGGATACAGAGCCTAGATCAGGAGAGGCCAGAGGCTTACCGCCCTCTCTGCAAAATTCATTCTGTAGGCACAGCCGTGGATACAGAGAGGACTATCAAAACTGTAAGCCTTGTTGCCAAGTTTTAAAGAAGGAAGAGTAGGTCCAGGTTCTCTGACCGATAATGACAAATGCCAATTTGGGAAAGAGACTTACTACCGACAGAAGCAATTTCAATTCTAACCTATCCTGCTTTGATAGGTGCTTGTGGCTGTGCCCTAAGTCTTCTCTGGTTTGCTCTGTTCTATGACGACCCAAAGGACCACCCATGTATAAGCATCAGTGAGAAGGAATACATCTTGTCCTCCCTCAACCAGCAGGTAGAACACAGATGCTCCACTGTGGTATCCTCCAGATTCTGTGCCAAATGGAACCATGTTCCTGCTTGTCCTAATGTGCTAACAGTTAATGGGTTTTTTCCCCAGGTCAGCTCAAGGACACAGTCTCTGCCAATCAAAGCTATGATTAAGTCTCTTCCCGTCTGGGCCATTGCTTTCGGTTCTTTTGCTTTTCACTGGACAAATAATATCATGGTTTTGTACACTCCAACATTTATCAGCTCCAAGCTTCATGTGAACATAAAAGAGGTAAGTTGACTTGTGTTCTCCTTTTAGCTTTATGAAGGACTCTGCTCATTTCTTTGTTTCTTATGACTCTAACCCTAGCTCTTGCTCACCCCTACACCATTTAGCTGTACCTGGAGACTGTTTCCAATTCTTATGTTAACGTTCCCCAGATCAAAGGGTGTAGGCACATATCTGGCACTCCCACAATAGAATACACTCATGTTCCCAGAGGTTCCCTACCTCCCATTCACTGCATGATCACCCCAATTAGTATTATTTAAGGCTCAACACCGTCGTTGCCTACAGAGACTGGGATCCTTCCCTGCCACCCTGCCCAGCTCACACCCAACCTATCTCTTGGGATAAGGCAATGAGTCCTGGGTCTTGCTTTGAAAGGATGGGCACTCTCATTTCTTATCTGACTTGGAGAATGACTGTTCCCTGAACCTATGTTCAAAGCCATACTAACCAGAAAAGACTCCTATAGAAATGGAATGCCCAAAGTGCCATTCATCAATCAACCTCCAGTAACCCAGCCTTGGGGCCAAGTGCTCTCTGATTCAGTGTTATCCTCTGTGAGACCCTGGATGTGTTGAAAGGATTAAGGGCAGTGGTTCAGAATCAGCACCATATGTATGTCTGTAGTTGCTGTCATTACTAGCTCTACCATCTTGCCCAAGGCCGGCATTCCCCATTCCCGACTATAGTCTTCGGATCTCGATTCTCCAGTACTTTCAGGTCCCGTGACACTAAGAAGAGAAAACTAGATGGACTCTGACAACTCTTCCTGACCCCAAAACTATTTTCCTCTTTCTTTTGGGTGGTGTGGCCCCAAGTGGGAATTCTGAGTTTGCACGTTGATGGTAGCTTGTATGGCAATACAAATTTTAGATACTGAATTTTAGCGTCGGGATGAGTCTACCTATCATACTCACCCTTACACTAACATTTACTTCCCAGAATGGGCTGCTGTCAGCCCTCCCCTATTTGTTTGCCTGGAGCTTTGGTATCCTAGCCGGTCACCTGTCAGACTTCTTCCTGTCCAGGAATATTCTCCGCTTAGTTACCATCCGGAACCTCTTCAACACACTGGGTAAGGAACAGCCGGATGTTCAAGCTCCTTGAGGCCCTTTGCCCCGTCTTTGGGATGCCCCTAACTGTGTTGTCTGAATCACTCCCCAGGACTTCTTCTGCCTGCCTTCTTTAGCGTGTGCCTGCTCTACCTGAGTTTCAGCTTCTCTAGCACTACCATCTTCCTGATACTTGCCAGTTCAACAGGAACCTTTTGTATGGCTGGAGTACTCATAAATGGCTTGGATATTGCTCCCAGGTAGGATTTTAAAAATCTCTTTCCTGTATCCAAGCTCTCCAGGGTTTTTTAAGATTCCAACCATTTTGGAGTTCGTGGCCACCAGGCCAAAACTCTCCCAGAAGCAGCATCAATATAGTTCATTCATATAATGTAAGTAATCATTATGTACCTAATGATATATTAATGTTTGCAACCCCTATATTTATGAAGTACAGCCCAATGATTCAGGGCACAGATTCTAAAGTCAGAAGGCTCGGTTTTAATAACAGCATGACCACTGTCTTCAAACAAATTACTTACCTTCTCTGGGCCTGTTGCACACCTATAAAATGGGAGTGATAAGACAATGCTTACCTCATAGGATTATTAGAGGATGAAATAAATTAATTTAGGTCAAGTACACAGAATAGTGCCTGGCCCATAGCAAACACTGTATACAGGTTACCTGCTCCCCTTGGTTATTGTTATTGAATACATGTTTATATATTATGAATCCTTATGAAAACCCACCAGTCAGTAGTACTTATTTTATAACTAAGAAAACCGAGGGTCAGATACTTGTCAGCCAAGATCTCACCACTGGTTTGGAATCTTACCTAGGATTTTAATCCAGATCTGTCTGGCAAAATCTTTTGCTTTTACTATGATGCCTTTTTTGAAGATACTCTAAGTGTGACTGCTGGAAGCAGCCCAGCCATTTGCACAACTCCAGGGGGCACTGTTTACATTGTGCTCTATAGGGCTAGCAGTCCCTGGAGAACGTGGATCCAGTAGGAACAGAATTCTCTGAAGTTTAGCAAAGCAGTGGCTGTGGGGTAGAGAGGCGAAATCAACAAAGAATAATCCACTTGTCTTGATTCTTATAAAGAATCTTGTCCATTATATCTACACAAGGTGAGTGCCAGAGTAGTGAGGACATGTATTCACTTGTTTTATTCAGTTCCAAGACCCTCCTTAAAAATGCCCACAGGTGAATTATATACAAAACATGTAAGGATTATTTGATACAGAAAGCACAATGTCAACTGAGTCATATGCACTTTGAAATCAAGAATGTATACAGAAATAGGGACGCCTGGGTGGCGCAGTTGGTTAAGCATCTGACTCTTGGTTTTGGCTCAGGTCATGATCTCAGGGTCCTGGGATGGAGCCCTGTGTGGGGCTCCGTGATCAGTGCAGAGTCTGCTTGAGATTCTCTCTTCCACTCTGTCTGCCCCGCCTGCTCATGCTCTCTCTCTCTCTAAAATCAATCAATCAATCTTTAAAGAAAATAATGTATACAGAAATAGAGAAAGGAAATTATAAATAGCTAGGATTTATTGAGTATTTTTATGTGCCTGGCATGCCCCGTGTGAATGAGATATTACCCACATAGTATGGGCGAGGAAGCAAAAGACCAGGGAAAAGAATTCATGTAAATCACACAGTAATAAGCACTGAGGGCTCACACCTACGTATGTCTGCTTCCACAGCTGACTAGCTGTAGTCACTCCCTCAGTAGGGCTATTTGCTAGCATCTTGTCAGTAGGCTATGAAATAATCTCAGCCAGCAATGGCTTGAGTTTATAGGACTTGTCTGAGTTGCATCATTCCAATGGACCCAAATTCCATGTCAGCCAGGTAATTTTGTAGAATCAGAGAGAATAAATATGCTAATATACAAACTGGAAAAAATTCTTATCCCTTAAGGTAGTTCATCCTCAATCTTTAGGGCATATGTGTGTTATAGCTCAACCATATCAATTTCTATTGCTTCAACTATTGTTTATTAATGGGATGGAGACCAAACTTACTTAAGCAAGAATGTTCCTAATCATATACCTCCCTTGTTATTATAGAGAGTTCCCTTAGAGAATAAATTTCTAATTTGTCCTCTTAGGGAAATTTGGTCTTTGTTAGAACTAAAGAGTCGGTCAGGGGTTACATAGGTTGGAGCAGAACAAAGGTGGCAGGAACAAAGGTCTGGAAGGAAAAAGAAACACACAGGTGATTTTGTGATAATATTGTCTGGGAAATAAGACTGAGCGAGACAGAGACCTAAGAATGGAGTGGCTGCCATCACTGTGGTGGGCAGCAAGAGTAGAAAAGCACAGAGAACTCTACAGATGTTCTGTAATGCATTAACAAGAACCTGTCATTGCCTTGACATTCTCAAATGGAGGCCCCAAAAAAGGCTTTAATTGCTTTTCATTATTTTTGACTGATTGCATGGATTGTACACCCTTGAATTTCCCCCTCCATGTGAGCCTGAAGTAAAGTTCAGACATCAGAATCTTATTTGGGCTCTACTAAATCATAGTATGCCAAAATATGAAATCAATAAATTTGAAAGTCTACTTTAATGGCTATTTAAATTTCCAAAATGCCTTTTAGTATGAGCTATTGCTGCTGAAGGATAAGCCAATTTAGAGATCACTGTGGTCCAGAAAATTATCCTGCATTAGAACAACCTTATTTTCACTCCCTATGTCATGTACCTATCATTTGAAGACCGAATGGCATGAGAATTAGACGATAAAACGTCACCTACTCTCAGATCAGAAGAACTGCTCCATCCTATCGATGTGTAGCGGTTTTTTAGAGGAATTGTCAAGGCACTCAGGATTCTTGACCCTGAGGATTCTGTTTATTTCTCTGACTACGGAATGAAACACCTCTTTTGGTAAAAATAGATCAAATCCTTTCTCACAGCCACAGCATGCTAAAGACGTCTGAATCTGGGAGGAGAACATAGTCATTAAAGATGTCATAGTTACTGAATATATACTAGGATAAATATAAAGAAAACCACTCCTAGAATTGTTGTAGTAAAATTGCTAAAACTAGAAAGTCAGGGAGGGAGAAAGAGAGATCTCTTAAACACAGCCACATGCAAAAGCACATTGCTTTCAAAGAAGAAATAATAAGACTGGGAGCTGCTTTCTCAAGAGAAAAAAAGTGAAAGCTAGAGCCAATCTCTAATATGAAAAAAGTAAAATCACCATTAATTAGAGGTTTATATCGAGCAAAAATTCCTTCAAGAATTAAGGTAATATAAAAATATTTTCAGGCAAATTGTGAAAATTCATCAACAAAGGCCTCCAATGAAAGCTTCTTAAGTGGGAATTCTTTGGACAGAGGCAAAATAATCACAGATGAAGCATAGAAATGTAGGAACAATAAAGAGAGATGGAGAGGAAAAAAAGTAGAGTAAATCTAATAATTACTGAATTCACAAAAGGAAAGCAATACCTTGCAGGGTACAAAATATATGTAAATTAAAATGTCTGACAATAAAAAGCACAAAAGATGGGAGGATATAAATGAAAATGTGTTCTCAGGTGCTTTCATTAATGGGAATTTATAAAAATATTAATTTATGTTAGACTAAAATAAGTCAAGAATATATGTTTTAATCTCTAGGGTAACTATTGAATGATAGTAAAAGTGTAAAGGAGATGATACTGCAAAACACCAATGAAAAAGAAATCAAGAGTGAAGTTTAAAAAGGAGCATAAAAGAGGTGGAAAAAACAGAATGAGGATCTATTTAAGTCAAATGTATCAGAAAAACACAAAATATAAAAGGACTATATCTTCCAAATTTTGAGTTAATCTGGATGGAAATAAAAGCAATAACAAAATGTACCTGATTATAAGCAAAATAAAGGAAACCACATCAGCCAATGTAGACTTTAAGGCAGATGCATTACTAGAGATAAAGAATTTTTTAAGAATTACTTTAATTCGGGGCGCCTGGGTGGCTCAGTTGGTTAAAAGACTGCCTTCGGCTCAGGTCATGATCCTGGAGTCCCGGGATCGAGTCCCACATCGGGCTCCCTGCTCAGCGGGGGGTCTGCTTCTCCCTCTGACTCTCTTCCCTTTCGTGCTCTCTCTCTCTCATTCTCTCTCTCTCAAATAAATAATAAAAAATCTTTAAAAAAAAAAAGAATTACTTTAATTCACTAGAACATATAATTTTCTAAATTTCTCTGTACCTAACATTTTACAACTGTAAAGCAAAATTTGAGAAAACTGTTCAATTTCCGCATAGGATTGGGCAGCTGTGGATGACTGACAGTCCAGCTGGGGAACATCTGAAAAGACCAAATAAAATGCCAAAAGTAGGGGTGCCTGGCTGTCTCAGTCAGTGGAGCATGTGACTCTTGATCTTAGGATTGTTCAAGATCAAGTTTTGAGCCCCATGTTGGATATAGAGATTACTTTAAAAATTTAAAAAATAAAATAAAATACCTAAAGTGTTCACTCAAAGGCATCAGACAGCAGCCGAGGCCCTATAAGACCGAAGATACAAGAGGATAGACCCTCTGAGGTGAGCTGACAGTTCCCGCCACTTTTTCATTGGGGTCATTTGGCAAAAGGCTGCTAATCCAGGTTTGGCCCTGGGACAAGTCTGCTGCTATGTATAGAGAAATTAGTCAAGCGTTTGGGTTGCACAGGGCTGGAGTGACAACATTGAAAATTAAGGGAACTTAAACATAAAGTCAGTTTCTTTCTTTGAGATATTTGTTGAGTTCTGAAGTTCAATGGGGCAAGTGGCAAAAAAAAATCTAAGCCAAATCTAGCATGGCAGAATTTGCCATACTATCTATACTAAGGAGACAAGATCTGCCAAGGCCTGGCGGGACCTGGCTGGATATACTAAGCTCTCCATTTAACAGCATGGAGGGCAACACCTAAGGAACTGGGGGGAGTGAGGGGGGTAGGTACTACAGGTTTGGGTCTTATCAAAATTGAAAACTAGCCTCATCTCAGTGCATTTGCTAATTAGATTAAAGTGATCCACTCCCTCCCCTCCAAGTCTATCTATTAGAGAAAAGGGTGAATTTTCTCTTACAAAGCATAACATATTCTTGGAGTCCCTAGAGCTCTTATTAAAAATGTCCAGCATTTAATAAAAATTAGTAGGCATGACAAGGGATAGGGCCATGGGATCAATAACCACAAAATGCATTAGAAATAGTCCTACAACTGATACAGATATTAAAATTATCAGGCAAGAAGAACTTTGAAATATCTATGATTAATATACCCAAGAAACCAGGAAAAACTGAAGAAACAAGAAGAAAAGATAAAGAATTTGACCAGTATTGGAATCTATAAAAACAATCAAATGAAAATTTTAGAACCGAAAAAATAAAATGCCTGAAATCGAGATCTTAATAGATAGGTTTGAGGCGCCTGGGTGGCTCAGTTGGTTAAGCGACTGCCTTCGGCTCAGGTCATGATCCTGGAGTCCCAGGATCGAGCCCCACATCAGGCTCCCTGCTCAGCGGGGAGTCTGCTTCTCCCTCTGACCCTCCCCCCTCTCGTGTTCTCTCTCTCATTCTCTCTCTCTCTCTCTCTCTCAAATAAATAAATAAAATCTTTAAAAAAAAATAGATAGGTTTAATGACAAATTAGCCACATGAGAAAATAAGATTGGTAAATAGGGAGACATATCACAAGAAACATCTAAATTGAAATATACAGGAAAAAAAAATAAAAGAGCATAACAGAAATGTGGAATGAAGTAAAAAGGCTAACAAATCTGTATTTGAATCTCAGAAGGAAAAGAGAGCTAAAACGTGACATAAGCAATATTTTAAGAGAAAACAGGCCCAAATAATTCAAAAGTCACGAAAGACAGTAAACCACACGTGCACAAAGCTCTGTGAATTTCAAACATGATGAAATGTAAATTATATATATGGTAAGAATGCCAAAAGCCAAAGACAAAGAAAAAAATCTTAAAAGGAACTAGAGCAAAAAGGCATGTCACTTTCAAGTGACAATAATAAGCCTGACATCTGACTTTCCGACAGGAACCATCAAAACCAGAAGATAATGATACGATCTCTATAACATGCTAAAAAATAAATAAATGTCAACCTAGAATTTTATGCCTAATGAAAATATTCTTAGAAAATCAAAGCAAAATAATGTTTTCAGACAAACAGAGAAACTGTCACCTAGATCTTAGATCTTCTGTCACTTAGATCTTCACTAAAGGAAATACTAAAAGAAAACGTTCAGGTAAAAAGAAATACCTATTGAAATCTGAATATGTTAGAAAGACTGAGGAGCAATTAGGGACGGTAAGTATGTGTGTAATTGCAGAGACTATTGATCTATAAAAACAACAGAAAGTGACATGAGTTGAAATGCATATTGAAACAAATTGCGTTAAGAAGTTAAAATACAGGATGAAATAATGCAAAGAGCAGGAGGGAAATAAACAGAAATGTCAAAATATTAAAATCTTAAAAATGCTCTAAGCTCTGGCATAGAGAAAATAGTAAAAGTATAATTCATAATAAACTTAAGCAAAAAGTACATGTTATAATACCTTCAATGCTTGAAAAGAACAGTTGAAATAAAGTCACAGAAGGAAAAATAAAATAAAACGGATGAATCTAGAAGAAAAAGTGGAATATAAGAGAGGAAGTCAAAAACAAAATAGTGAACAGATACAGATAATCAGAAGTATATCAGTAATTATATTAGCTTAACATAGAAGAAATACTCCAAGTAACTATCAAGATTGTCAAAGTCAAAAATAAAGGAAATGCAGCTCTATCCTGCAAATAAAAGACACACATTAAACATGAGGATATAGCAAGGATGCAATTAAAGAATACAAAGAAGTAGTCCAAGCAAATATTAACCAAGAGAAACCTGAAATACCTATGTTAGTATCAGAAAAAAATGGAAGACTACCAGAAATAGAGGGTGTTAGTTCATAATGGTGAAGGGAAAATTATCAGAATTATATCTCTGTTTGAATCCAATAATACAGCTTTAATTAATAATCATTATGAATTGAGAGAACTCAAAGAACTAGACAAATTTACAATGAAGGAAGAAATTTTCATAGCCTCTTTCAATAGCTTGGACTAAAACAGAAGTAGACAAAAAAAATCAGTAAGGATATGGATGACTAGAACAACAACAAAAATTAACAGAGTTGACCGGATTGACATATGTGGAAAATCACACTGCACACAACAAGGAGAGGATTCAAGTTATTTTCAGTTGCCTATGGGACAGTTATTGAAATTGGTGATGTTCTGGGTCATAAAGCAAGCTGCAATTGATTTGAAATGCTTGAAATCATTCAGAATATATTCTTTGATCACAGTGAATTAAGGTTGCCATCTAAAGCAAAAGATACATAACCCCCATTGCTTTGAGAGTAATGTTTAAGTCGAAGAAATCACAACTGGAATTAGAAAATACTTTAAATCATAATGAAGTAGGACATTTCAAAGCATGTGGGATGCTTTTAAAATCATGCCCAGAGAGGGATACCTGGGTGGCTCCGTCGGTTAAACGTCTGCCTTCGGCTCAGGTCATGATCCCAGGGTCCTGGGATCGAGGCCCCATCAGGCTCCCTGCTGAGCAGGAAGCCTGCTCCTCCCTCTCCTGCTCCCTCTGCTTGTGCTCTCTCTCTCTGACAAATAAATAAAAATATCTTTAAAAAATCATGCCCAGAGAGAAATGTATAGCTTTAAACACATATATTGAAAAACAGGTAAGTCTTAAAATCAATAATCATGTTTCTTATCTCAAGTAGCTAGAAAAGCAGCAAATTAACCCCCCCCCCAAATTATGAAGATTAGGACAAAAACGTTATACATAAAATCAACAATGTCAAAAGTTGGTTCTCTGGAAATTAATGAAAGTAATGGAAAAATGAAGGGTGATTAAGAAAAAGAGAAAAATTATCAATGTCAGTAATGCAAAAGCATGCATTATGATAAGTTTAGAAGACAAAAAGGAAATAACAGAATATTATGAACAACTTCGTGCCTGTAAATCTGACAATTTAGATGAAACTGAAAAGTCCCTCAACACACACACACACACACACACACACACACACACACACAGAGTCATAAAATATAATTTTTAATATTTTTATGGGGGAGAGGTGCTCATGAAGGCAAATGTGACAAAGGCTCACAAATGGCATATGTAGCTCTATCCCCACAAAAACCCTAGGGGTCCTATTGCTAAAATGAAAAGGGCAACTATCAATTCTGGTGACAACTGGTGATTTCTGCCCCGATCTGCACCTATCATTGCTAATACCCATAAATGTTCTTATTTATATATTAGAACACACTCTCCAGCTCCCCCTAAAAATCAAATCAAATTTCCACCCAGTGACTGCATACGGTTCAACATGCAGGGACTTTCGGTCTGTATGTGATGCCTCTCTGATTAAGGGACAGAGAAACTAATAGACAAACTATATACTCCCTCCCATATTCAACAGGTGAAGGCAGAATAGGAATAAAATAGACCTAGGGAAATAAAACGAACAGAACAAAACAAACAGAAAACCCTCACTGTCGTAAAAGGGAAGAAAAGGAAACACAGAACCTTTAATAGTGAAATCTTTTGAAAAGGAAAGGCAAGACTCCCCGCCCTGGAGAGAACTAATTTCTTGGTAAGACACTGGTTCTGCTCTCCAGAAGGCACTTCCTTGTTCTCTTTGGCTGCTGGATCTGACCCTTCCTCTGTTGATCATTCTCCGTGGCTTCCCTGCCTTCTGCTGAGCTGGGCTTGGGTACCCAGGACTGGCCGAGCACAGCTGCTTGGCAGCTAAGCTTCTGGCTTCCTCATCCAAGTACTGGGAACAATCACTGGGCCCGTAGCTCTTGGACCGTGGGAGGAGACCAGGTGGATGGAGTCCTTCACTTTTGTATTATCCCCAAACCAGTTCCTATCACCAATAAACATCACCTTCTGAATTTCTCAACTGGATTCACAGATTTCCTAATCCTGCTGGCTTTCATTCCACTAGGCTCTCTCTCAATCTCAGAATCGTTTTTACTGTTAAAGCCAACTTTTCTGATTTTTTACTGCCACTGGAAAGTTACTTATACCCACATAGTTTTTCAACTTTTAATGGAATTTGAGGAGGAATGAAAAATTTAGGAAATCAACAGTTATCACTCTTAAGCTTCACTTCGTTAGGTTGTCTTTTCCTGCAGCATTTGTCTGACTTTACATCTGTGTCCTGCCGTTCTTTTTCGCATAGTTATTACGGATTTCTTAAAGGAGTTACAGCTGTAATTGGGATGATAGGAGGACTCATTTCTTCTACTCTGTGTGGAGTAATCCTTAATCAGGTAAGAAGCCTTCAGACACGGGTGGTTACTTTTCTAATATTACTTATACAGAGAGAGGCGGCAATATATATACAAACAATTGTAGACACGACATCAGCAGGACGTGAGTAATGAGATATTTGCTCACATTAAACTTGGTCAGATCAGGCATCCCTCCAAATCTACAGATAATGTAATTTCTTTCTAATTGGATGTCAAGTAGTTGTCAAGCCGGGAACAGTTCAGTCATTGGTCTTGGGAACAGAAATAGACCTCTGTGATTTTTAACAATGAATGTGTGGCTTGATCCAAACAGGAATTTTGGCTGGTGAATGGTAATATAAGTAACAAGATACAGTTTTGTTAGAAAAGGAATGAAAAATCGGGAGCAAACAGAATTAGTGATCAAAAGAAACCCCTCTCTAAAGGTCAGCTTGTGTTTTGACAAGTGCTGTGGACAAGGTTATCTGAAATCCTTCTCTTAAGAACACTAAAATGCCCTATCAAATTTAAACAATCATTTTCAATGCATACCTGATCTTGAAAAAGATGTAAGAGAAAATTTCAGAGATGAAAAACAAAGGGAGAGCTTGATCCCAGAGAGGTCAATGCCTGCTGAAGCCCTGGAATGCCTTGGTACATGACCCTTGCTGGGTGATCTGTCACTTCAGCTGTGATGAACAAATCAAGAATAAGAGATAATATCCCCAAACCACTCATAAAACAAACAAACAAAAAAAGTCAGATTGGAAACGCTGGCATAAATCTGTAATCACAAAGCACTACACCCTCACACGTAGTACCATGTAGCTTATACGCAAACTTGGTTTATTTGGAGGAGAAGCTATGAGCTGAGAAGTAGCAGTATACAGGCAATTCCTCCACGTGCTCCTTATCCCATGACTTGGGCCAAGGAGAGATGGTCTGCATTCACCACGGCCAAATTTCTCAAAGAAGAGAGCCCACTACCGTCATGTTCTATGTACTTATGGTATCAGAAAGGCAGGAAAAATCACTGTAACCATGGGATCTCCCTGGACAGAGAAGTGGATAGAAAAGCAGGATTCCAGGAGACCAGGCTGATTTCTCCCTGCATATAGAGCCCACTCAGCCTGTTCTTCCACTTAACTCCCTCGGATATGCCGAGCAGACTTCCAAGCGTTAAGGTGAGCTAACTTCTCTGCGGACTTTCACAAGGTGGGAGGAAATGTGCCTCCAGAACGGTCCAAAGTTGTCTCTGCCCAGTAAGGACACTTGTCTGTCTCCGCCTCAGCTTCAAAGAGAGAAGAAAACCTGAATAAAGACTCTTCTGGACATCTGGAACAATGAACCATTTTTCCCAACAGTTTGAGGCCCAAATTCAAACTCTATTTATTTTATTTTTTGTCTTTAAATTTTGTTTATTGTTATGTTAATCACCATACATTACATCATTAGTTTTTGATGTAGGGTTCCATGATTCATTGTTTGTGCATAACGCCCAGTGCTCTAGGCAGAACGTGCCCTCGTTAATACCCATCCCCTCACACCCCTCCCCTCTAGAACCCTCAGTTTGTTTTTCAGAGTCCGTGCACCCCAATGTTTATAGTAGCAATGTCCACAATAGCCAAACTGTGGAAAGAGCCAAGATGCCATTGACAGATGAACGGATAAAGAAGATGTGGTGCGTATATACACAATGGAATATTATGCAGCCATCAAAAGGAATGAGAGCTTGCCATTTGCAATGACGTGGGATGGAACTGGAGGGTGTTATGCTGAGTGAAATAAGTCAATCAGAGAAAGGCATGTATCATATGACCTCACTGATAGGAGGAATTCTTAATCTCAGGAAACAAACTGAGGGTTGCTGGAGTGGTGGGGGGGTGGGAGGGATGGGGTGGCTGGGTGATAGACATTGGGCAGGGTATGTGCTATGGTGAGCGCTGTGAATTGTGCAAGACTGTTGAATCACAGATCTGTACCTCTGAAACAAATAATGCAAGATATGTTAAGAAAAAAAAAGAAGATAGCAGAAGGGGAAGAATGAAGGGGGGTAAATCAGAGGGGGAGGTGAACTATGAGAGACAAACTCTATTTGTTTTAAATGCCATAAGCCAAGCATTGAATTTTGAGTAGTCCAAAGATGCCTAGTAGAAGCAAGTAAGGTTTTTCTGGAGAAACTCACCCTAAATTCATACTCTAGGATTTTCTCATGCATAAAGGTTTAGTGAGAACAATTTTACAATCAATTAAAAATCACCAAACACGTGAAGAAATGAGGTGTCACATGAGAGAAGAATAAAAAAACCTTGGAATCAGATCCTCAGAGATATTGGAAATCTATGCACATGTTTAAAGGAGCAAAAGAGAGGGTCAAAAATATACGTAGAAGCATAAGATTTGACAGAGAACTAAATCTAACCTCTGGTAATTAAAAAGAGAAAAATTGAAATAAAAAATTTCAGAAGAAATACAGCTAAGAGGAGAATTAGTGGTTTCTGATTCCACTAATGAAAGTAAATAATTTGGGTCAATTCTCTTAGTAAAAGCAATTTAAAAGGTTGGAAAAATATGAAGAGTCTTCTTTGAAGGTTCAGAGAACCAGAGAGATGGAAAACTTTAACAGGAAAGATCTGAGAGGAGCCTGGAAGTGAAAGAATTAGGCAAAGGACTACGGGGTATTTTCCACTGGGCGGAGGAAAGCAGATTTTTTGGCTGCTTTTGAGGGTCTGCCAAGGGAGAGGACCCCAATAAATTAACTCTTGTTTTACTCTGAGACCTTCCAAGAGTTGCACGGAAGGAGTAAGCGTGAACAGAAATAAACCAGTCCTCACACAGTCCGCTTGAGTCATCTGGGCAGACCAGAACATACCCAATATTACTTTAAAGGGGCTTGGACTTACAGTGTCCCAGAGGAGTCAGCAGGAGGCAAACAAAAACAGCACTTTGGGGAGAGGCATCACCAACCCGACTGTCACCCGAAATCGTTTTTTAAGTACAATCTTCTGCATACAACAAAAGATAACCAGGCACATGACGGAGACACAGCAAAATGGGGGGAAACCAGCAGAACAAAGAGCAAATAACAGTGACAGGAGAAAGGGACCCCAAAGACAAGTCAGACTGGTGCCACCAGCTCGCGTACACTGCACGGGGAAGGGTAAGTGAAGCTTGATATTCTCCGTAGGAGGCTCGAACTATAGGAAGTCACATAGAATATGTGAGAAAAAAAGGACTAAAACTGAAGTTTAAAAACAAATTTGATAGACATGGCAGCACTGCTAACAAGCCCAAATCCCAGCAGCAAAAACTACAGAGGTCTTTCTTTCTCAACTGGTAGATCCACTCGAGTCAGCCGATGGGGTAACTGGGGAGAGCCGGTCCTCTAAGCCCTCCCAGTCACCGAGGCAGAGCGGAGGGTGCAGTGAGGGGCAGGGGCTCTTTACCCTTCTGCTCCGGGTCATGGTCCAAAGCAATCACGGCTAACCTTGACTTCAGGGGGGCTGTGGAGCGCCATGAAGGAGGACCAAAAATGTCACATCGGTTCACTCCTCCGGCCACCAAACGTTCAGTTCACTCTCCCCGGGGCGGGTGGAACGATTTCACTTTCTCCGTCAGGACCCGGGCTCCCACCTCGTTATGACCTCAAGTGCAAAGTGCAGACTGTGTCCTGTCTTCATCGGGGCGATCATGCGCAACGACCCTCCACATCAGGGGCACTGTACTCCATCAGGCTGTGTACTGCGGCAGCACCGCCATCCATTAGTCGTAAACACTTCCTTTCAGAAAAGGAAGACCAGGGTGCAGACGGTAGCTATAGGTTTACAGTAATGCCGGCACCCTGCTCGGGGGACATTTTGAGAGCTACCTCTCGGGGTGCACTTGAGTGTTCTTTGATCAGGTCCTGAAGTGACAATGTAGGGACCGGGGGGCTTTTGGAGTGGTCTGCCTTGATTAGTGTGCTCTGTGTGGAGTAAGGTGAGTGAATCAGATATTTCATGACGAGAATGGTGAACTAGGAGCTAATTATTGCAGCTACTTATTGCAACAATAATTTTTTCTGGGGACACCTGGGGGGCTCAGTCGGTGAAGCGTCTGCCTTTGGCTCAGGTCACGATCCCAGGGTCCTGGGATGGAGCCGTGCATCGGGCTTCCTGCTCAGTGGAGAGTCTGCTTCTCCCTCTACCCCTCACCTTGCTTGTGTGCTCTCTCTCTCTCTCTCTCTCTCTCTCTGCTAAATAAATAAATAAAATCTTTTAAAAACATAATTAAAAATTATTTTTTTCTGGTTCTTCTCTTGGCAGTTTCCCACTTGCGAGAAGTTAAATGTATTCATGCACGTTATTTTGGCCAATGACACATGAGATGTGCTTGGCCAATGACACAAGTTATATGTGTTAATTCTGAAGAGAAGTTTAAGAGGCAGGAGGTCATTCTCTTCTTGACATAGCAACTTGTAACAATGAGAATGGCGACTGCATCTCTACCATCCAGGATCTGGGGATGAGGAGATGTAGAGCCCAGCTCCCAGCTAACCTGCTGTGCACCCTAGTGTAACCACAAAACCAAACCATTAAGAGACACAAAGATAGCTATAGTGAAAGATTTTAATGCATCACTTGTAATAATTGTTGCAGCAGGGAGAAAAAAATCTGTAAAAATATAAAAGAGTTGAGCAATACAATTAACATACTTGGCCTAATTGACAGTCATGGAACGCCCCACTCAACAACCACAGAATCCTCATTCCTTTCAAGGTGTCCTAGAACATTTGTAAAAATTGACTACATACTGTGCTACTATGTAAATTCCAGCAATTGTAACAGGACTGTAATTACACAGAATGTGTCCTCCAATCACAATTAAATTATGATAGAAATCAAAGACAGAATAGATAAGCAGAAAAATCCACACATATTTTGAAAATAAGAAATAACATTTTAGACCGTCAGTTGCCTATACTGGCAAGTTCAGTGATGTGGCTCGGTTCTTCCACTGGGGATAGATGGTAAATTAGATTTCAAAGGATCGATATTCTATAGAAAACCTAAGTGCAATAACATCACAACTAATACAAATAGGATTTCTAAAAAGATCACATATATTTACAAACTGAACAACATAATAGTAAATAATTACTAGGTTTAAAAGAACATCAAAAAGTGAATTCAGTAACACTTAAAACTGAATGACAGGGAAATTGTTACATGTGGAAATATATTGGACATTTAAGGTAATTTATAACTTGACCTAATTTATAAAAGAAAACACAAGAAAACCAACCAAAAATAAATAAGCTAATAAGCCTTCAACTCCAGAACTTGGGGAAAACAACAACATAGCAACCCCAAATAAGAAGGATTAAAACAGTAAGGGTAAAATAAATAAATTCTGCAGTTAATAAAACAGTAGAGAAGACACACAAAACTTAAAATTGGTAATCTGAAAAGATTAATCAGATAGACAATCTTTCTAGAGCAGGATACAAGAGACGAGATTAAACTGTCGGAAATACCAAGTGAGAAGGAGAAATTTTTTTGGAGATGTTGTAGATTAAAAGCTAAGAACAGTAAGAACAACTCTATGCTAAAAATTTGGGAAAACTGGATAAACAAATATATTCATATTCCTAAAAATATATACAGTGTGTATTCAAATCTCAACTCTGCTACTTACAAGCTATGCGACCTGGAAACATTTTAAGTCCTGGTGTCTCCAGCTATAAATGGCCAAAATGACAGAGAAACCTCATGGAGTTCAGGGGCTTACCAAATCAGATCATGCATGCAAGTACCAGATGCTCATGTATTCAATCCATAAGAGCTATTAATATCATTATTTGCATACTCTTTTAAATGCTATCTATCTTATTGTGCAGCATTCTGAAAAGGTTAGCAAACCCAATTGGTCAATAAAAGTAAGTTACAGGTAGATACAACGTAAATGCAGAAGAACAAAATAACATTATGTACAGTTAACAGACTGTCCTGGCAGGTGGGGGGGGGAATCAAAGTTAGATATTATATTGTATAAATATCTAAAGCACAGTATCAACCAATATTACAAAGTACCCACGGGGGAAAAACACTGAAAATTGTGCAAACTCCATATGAAGAAAACTGCACACCTATTAAAGCAACATCAGTGAAACTATATGAAGAAGGAGGCAGATCAAGTTTTTATGTTGGACTTCAGGTCCAAAACACAATGAATTCTATCAACTTAAAATTATTGAAAACTTTATTATTTACCATTAAATTTCTGGGCACATCTTGGTCCTTTTCTTGACTTTCTGTTTGCTAATGACCTGTTAAGCTTGGCCTGTTTTAATTAGAGAAATCGCTGTAATTAAATATATTTAATGTCTTATCTGAAGGAAACATTGTTTTATTTTTTCAATGTCTACTCTTAATATATTTTATTTTTCTAATTTTAATTTTCTTTTCGAGAGAGAGAGAGAGAGTGAGTAGGAGTGCAGAGGGGCAGAGAGAGAGGGAGAGAATCTTAAGCAAGCTTCACACCGAGCATGGAGCCGTTCGTGGGGATCGATTTCACAACCCTGAGATCATGACCTGAGCAGATATCAAGAGTCAGACGCTTAACTGACTGAGCTACCAAGGCACCTCCACTCTTAATCGTATTTTAAATAAAACTGATGATGATTTGGTCAAGTTCCAAAAAAATACATTCTGTATGATAAAGTTTCATTTCAAACCAGAGGAGATGGATTTGTTTTTTTTAAAAAAAACGTAGTGGGAAGCCCATTTGTAGAGAAATACGATTATACTCTGTTCTCATACCTGACCCCCAAATTAATTCTAGATGATTAAAAATGTAAGTGAAGAGAAACAATAAAGATACTAGAGTAGGGGCGCCTGGGTGGCTCAGTTGGTTAAACCGCTGCCTTCGGCTCAGGTCATGATCCCAGGGTCCCGGGATAGAGCCCCACATCAGGCTCGCCTGCTTCTCCCTCTGCCTGCCGCTCCCCCTGCTTGTGCTCTCTCCCTCTCTCTCCCTCTCTCTCTCTCACTATCTCTCTCTGTATGTCAAATAAATAAATAAAATCTTAAAAAAAAGATACTAAAGTAAAATAGGCCTTAATAATTATATAAACTTTGGGTTGGACATCCTTCAAAAGCATTGTACCAGACACCTAAACCCAATCACGATGCATTATACAAAACTACATAAAATTTAATCTCGGCTGATAAGAAAGGTAAAAAACAAATCTCAAACATAATTAAAATTCAATGTCATCTTTGAATATAGATGCAAAAATGAACTAAATCATCAGTGCATAGAATCCACCAGCATAATAAAATATATGCCTATAACACCATGACTAATTAAGGCATTTTCTGTGAAAGTAAAAGTGGCTCAATATTACAAAATCTATTAATGGAACTGATCATATGGGTAGGCTTAAGAGAAAATGCATTATAAATAAGGAAAAGGTATTTGATAAATTTTATTCAAAAGCATTGATGGCTATGTAATTAACTACCAAGATACTCAGATTTGTAGTAGCAAAAAGTGAAAAACATAAATATAAAGAAATAAGGGATGTTTTATAAATTTTATAAATCTAAACTCTGGATTACTAATCAGTCAGTAAAGGTTATGATACAGTCGAATATTTCTTGATATGCAGGCATGTTTATATTTCTAATAAAAAACCATATGTACTCTTGGCTTAAGCAGTATGTACATCATAATGTTATTTTTATACATGAAAAATTATATGTACATAGACATAAATCAAAAAGTAGAAAGAGGGTACCTGGGTGGCTCAGTTGGTTAAGCATCTGACTTGATTTCAGCTCAGGTCATGATGTCAAGGTCCTGGAATCGAGTCCCATGTCGGGCTCTGAGCTCTGTGAGGAGTCTGCTTGTCCCTCTCTCTCTCTGCCCCTCCCCCCACTCACATGCTCTCTCCCTCTCAAATAAATAAACTAAATCTTTTTAAAAAATAGAAAGATAAATAGTAATTATCTTTGTAGAGTGAAATTATAATTTTTTTGCTCCTTATGAGTGTGTTTTTCCATGTCTATTAAGTTACCTGTATTGAATCTATACTAATTTTAATATTATATTGGAAATTAATATTATATTGGAAGCCCACTAATTTATAATCACTTTGCACTATAATCCCTCAGGATCCAGAATCCGCCTGGTTTAAAATTTTCTTCCTGATGGCGGTCATTAATGTGATATGCCTACTTTTCTGTGTCGTCTTTGGAAAAGCAGAAATTCAGGACTGGGCTAAAGATATACAAGAACACACACGCCTCTGAAGGTAAGAAGTGATCAGCTTGAGTCAGATTTTGAAACTGGGGGCATGGGAGAGGGCGGGGTTGAGGGTGACGGGGTGCTAAGACGGGGAGAAGTTGGGGTTTTAGACTAGAATGGGCCGCGTCGAATCTAAAACTCTGGTGCCCTGATGGACATTCAGCCCAGAGGAGGCACTGCTCTGGGATTCTGGGGCGAGAGTGGCGCCAGGACACAGACATTTTGGGAGCCTGGGCCTCTCTAACATTAAGGGAGAGGAAGACAAGGGGCCGCTTTCGAGGGGATGGGAAGGATCCTCGGTGGAGCAAGAAGAACAGCGGAGGAATGAGTTCTCTTAGAACAGAAGTAAAAAAGGTGGGCCTGAGCACCCTCAGCAAATGCTACCAAGGGGTCAAACTGCATGAGGTCTGAGAATTTACCCATGGATTTGACCCTGATGAGAATGAATGACGGAGACAAAGGGTCCATTAAAGGTCTTTCTTCTTGAAACTCTGTCAGGGGTAATTAAAGACTAGACATGTCTCTTTATAGGATTATTTCAGCTAATACATAAACAAGAGTTGATATTTATCGAATATCCTCAGTTTTGTAAACTCCGGTGAATGAAGGGATCCAGGTTTTGTGCATCAACAGCTGTTAACATCACAACGAGAGATTTGCTCATAATTGTGTACATCCTGATGAAAGAACGCACCTCCACCAAGGTCTTGCTATGAACACCAGCTGGGTACCATCAAGCCTGTAGAGACAGCTGCTGTTTTGTTGGAAATACGGAGACTACAGAATGCACAATGCGTTGGACTAAATCCTAAGGACACGGGGGCACCTGGGTGGCTCAGTTGGTTAAGCATCTGCCTTCAGCTCAGGAAATTATCTCAAGTTCTTTGTGTGTGTGCTTGTTCCAGATTCTCTGGAATAGAGTTTCACCTTTAAATTCTACTTTTCTGCGTCATTTCACTTTATCTGTGTTTCTTAGAAATATTTCACCCACTCTGAGAGCTGCCTCCTTTGCAGAGAGGAGTTTAACCCAACAGCATTTGTTACCCTTACAAATAGACTGCGTTTTCTGTCATTTGATTTTCTATCCCCTTAAAACAATGCCCTCCCCATCTTCGTGGTCCTCCCATGCCTGCCGCCTGGCCTGGCCCTAGTAACTCAGGTTTGTGGTATGTTTTAAATGCCGGTTGCGCTTCCACGCTCTGATGAAATCTTTGAAAACGAGTCCATTTTTCACTAGCATGCAATATTTGGCTGCCTTCTTTTCCCTTCGAAAATATCTCGCGCACTGGACTTTTCTAGTAACTTTTCTCCTGCTGGAACCCAGTCCCCCTGAGCTTGTAATTCCCCACACATCCCACGGGTGCAATTTCCCTTCTCCTGTTTACCTTGGTGGCCTTCCATCTTCCATCAGGCTGGAGCCCGCGGGAGGGCTGGGAGTTTGAAATCCACCTTGCGCGCCCCAGCCCAGATGACAGCCGGTGCGGGGACCCCAGCCCAGGGAGCGGGGTTGCTCCGGAGGCATCTCCCTTGGCCCCGCTCTCTGTCTGGCTGCGCTCCGAGGAGAATGGAAGGCTTTTTGGACAACCTGCATCTTCAACAGCTTGCAGCATCCACAGTGTTTCCCAGGCACAGGCTGACACGTTGGAGCAAAGCTGGTCCATCTCAACCTCGCATCTTGACTGAAGAAGCTGTGGGGGGGAAATCGGAAAGGGCTGAGTCATAGTCACGTGTCTCCCCTCGAGCCCAGAGCCTGTGTGGCCCAAAGGGCCTGGGCCCCAGAATAGCACACATCCGTGGGGTACCCCGGCCCCGCAGCCCCCGCCGGGACGTGAGTCCCTCTCCCGCTCCCTCTCAGGAAGGAGCAGAGCTCATAGGCAGGCAGCTGTGAGTTGATTCCAGTGTCACCTTTCCTTTGGGTCCTCCTTGTCTCGAATTTAGTAAATAGCCTGTGTAGGCTCTGGCTTGACGTAGTTCCCTCGTTTTCCTCATTTTCTGTATCTGTTTAGTTGCCTTTTATAGGGGTCGGGTTGGGGTGGGGAATTCCTACCGTGGGGAGACAGCACAGGACTTTAGAGACTATCAGTCCTGCGGGTAAGCCTTATCAGTGAGGCGCTCCAGGAGTCTGCGTGACAAAAACCTTGGCTCAAGGGTTTGTCCATGAAAAGGTAGAGTTATGTGGGCCTCGAATCTTTTAAATTTTGGCATGTTATGTTTTGAGGATAAACATAGATTTTATTGAACCAGTAGATTGAGGTGAATGTATTGGGGTCTGTAAAGAGAAATAGAATGCTCAGTTCTGCAGCTGTCTCTGAAGCTGTGGGCCAGAAAGAAGCCATAGGAGGGACAGAAGAGGTTCCCCTCGTGGGGGCACCCGTGGGTGGACTCGGTCCTGTGGCTTCTCCCTCTGACACTGTCAGCCACCTGGTCAGTTGGCCAGTGAGATACCAAGGATTTTTGGCAGAGCTTAATCTCCTGCAAGCTTTTCATTTTTAATTTTTATTTATTTATTATTATTTTTTTTTTAAATTTTCAATTCCAGTAGAGTTAGCATCAAGGTTATATTAGTTTCAGGTGTACAGTGTGGTGACTGCAGACTTCAGGGCTCCTGCAAGCTTTGTAAATGGGCTGTGTCAGCCAGTTAGGGCGGCCCTGGCCTTGCCACCATCAAGGAGTGGTGAGCTCACCTGGAGGGGGAAGGAGGGAGAGAAGAGTTCCTGGAAATTCATGCTTTCCTTATTGTCTTTACTTCATCTACAGAAGTTTAGTGCAGAGCTGAAGTAGGGGTTTGGATTTGTTTCCCAAGCCAGTGAGTTTTAACAACATCATTTTTTTTTTTTTAATACTTCACATTTGTTCTTCTGGTTTAAAATACCAACTTTTGGTAAAATAAACTTCTATATATTTATAGATATTTCTGGGCTTTTACTATATAGTTTAATATCTGTTGGTACTGGGACCTGTCGTAATATATTGATGGGTCTAAATTTTCAATGTATGTAAATATCAGGCCAATCAAACATTATTCGTTTGTATTTTTGAAGATGATATTGTGTAATATCAGCTGTTTATTCTCCCAGGAAAATTTATAATCATTGGGCCATTTTAATAAAGACTTAACTGCAGTATTTAAATTGCACCAAATTAAAATTTAATTGCATTAAATTGCACTAAATCTATTTGGGAGAAACTAGGAACATAGTAAGACCCCCCCCATGACGAATGTGGGTTCAGTTTTTCTTGAGTCCAGTGCTGCAATTTGCTTCCTGTATTTAGCGTACATTCCTTAACAAAATTTAATTTATATTTCCTGAATGTGATTTTTATTTATTGTAATTTCTCACACATTTGGGCTGGGATATAAGGAAGGTATTGTTTGAATATATTTTTTTAACTGAAAAACTTACCTGTGGCTAAGTTATCTTGTTAGGATAGTTTGGGAGTTGATTCTCTGGTTTCTAGGTAGATAATCACATCATTTGCAAATAATAATAATAATTTTCTTTCCTCCCTTTTGATATTTTATCTCTTTTTTCCCCTTCTTGAATCATGGCCCTTAGAATTTCCAGAACGAACTTAAATAATGTGTTAATGTTAGTATTCCTTTATTCTCTATGCTTTCAAATGCATACACTCTAGTTTTATTCTTTTTTTTTAAGATTTTATTTATTTATTTGAGAGAGAGAGAGTGAGCATGAGCAGGAGGAGGGCCAGAGGGAGAGAGAGAAGCAGGCTCCACACTGAGCAGGGAGCCCGACGCGGGGCTCGATCCCAGGACCCTGGGACCATGACTTGAGCCGAAGGCAGACGCTTAACGACTGAGCCACCCAGGCGCCCCCTCTAGTTTTACTCTAATAAGTTGGTTGTTTATTTTTATTTATATAATTTTTTATTGAAGAATAATTGACATACAATGTTGTATTAGTTTTAGGTATAAAAACATAGGATTGAAAAAAACAACAACATAGTGACTTGATATATATTTACCTTACAAAATGGTCACTGCAATAAGTCTAGTTACCGTCTGTCACCATTCAAAAGTTGTTACAATATTATTGATTGTATTCCCTCTGCGGTACATTACATTCCTGTGTCTTATTTATTTTATAACTGGAAGATCATACCTCTGAACCTCTGAATTCCATTTACTTGTTTGTCCATCCCTCCACCCTCCCTCCCTCTGGCAATCATCACTTGTTCTCCAAATCTCTGAATCTGCTTCTGCTTTGTGTTGTCGTTTGGCTTGTTTTGTTTTTCCAGATTCCACAAATCTGCGAAATCATTTGGTGTTTGTCTTTCTCAGCCTGACTTGTTTCATTTAGCATCTTAGCTCCGTCCCCATTGTTGCAAATGACAAGATTTCATTCATTTTGCAACTGAGTAATATTCTGTCGTATAAATATGCTGTATCTTCTTTATCCTTTTGTCTGTCCATGGATATTTGGACTGCTTCCTTATCTTGGCTGTTATAAATAATGCTGCAAAAACATAAGGGTGCATGTGTTTATTGAATTAGTGTTTCCATTTTCTTCAGATAAATACCTCAAAGTAGAATTGCTGGATTCTATGATAGTTCTATTTTTATTTCTTTTTCATTATTTTTTTGTTTTTTTGTTTAAGTAGGGTCCATATCCAGCATGGAGCCTGGCATGGGGCCTGAACTTAGGACCCTGAGATCAAGACCTGAGCTGAGATCAAGAGTCAGTCGCCCAACCGACTGAGCCACCCAGGCGCCCCTATGATAGTTCTGTTTTTAATTTTTTGAGGGACCGCTGTACTGTTTTCCATCGAGGTTGCACCAATTTGCAATCCCACCAACAGTGCATGAGGCTTTTTGTCCATCCACGTTCTTGTCAAAGCCTGTTGTTTCTTATCTTTTTGATCATAGCCATTTTGACAATTATGACGTGATACCTCATTGTAGTTTTGTTTTGCATTTCCCTGATGATCCGTGATGTTGAACATCTTTTCATGTGTCTGTTGGCCATCTGGATGTCTTCTTTAGAGA